GGCGCATATATCGTCCCCTTTTATCTTGTTTATCTTTTTTAAAAAGAAAATTCAACGAGCGGATCATCACCCTCGCTTCCCAACCCCATACGCTAATCCATTTCCTCTCTTCCTCTCTGGGCCGATTGCGCAATCGTAATCGTACGTCAACTTGAAGCAGTTTCTAGACCCACCCCGCACCGAAGTGCCGTGCCCGTCTAGCGCGAAAAGTCAAGAAAGGGGACCGCGGTTTCCGGATTCGTCTTGCGATCGAGAAGGAGGGTGATGGATGGAGGGAGGGAGGAGGGAGGCGACCGGAGCGACGGAGGGACGTAATACAAGATCACTCACAATGTTATCGTCATCTATGCACGGGTCGCCGGTCTCGTTTGTTCGGTTACTCCGTCTCGGAGCCCAACTTCGACTCTCTGACGCCGACGCCGACGCCGACGCTGACGCGCGCGCTATTCCGAGAACACAACCAACCGACCACCTGTTCGCAGTGTAACGAGAAACCCACCTCAACTCGCCTAATTTGCCAAGGAGCGACCAACTAATCTAATCCAGCTCGCACATCTATCCGGGTCGATTAGTCTGCACTGTCTTTCTTGCGCCACATCGTCAGCCTTCAGCTTCAGTTGTGTTTGGTCTGCTCTGTCCGACGACAGGATACGAACGACCTGGCTTGAAAGTTGACACATCGCACTGCAATAATTATAAACATTCCTCGCGCTGTAGACATACTGTATTTCATCGCTCAACAGCGAATGATCTATCCCTTTAATTCGGCCATACATATATTACTCCTGCAGCTCTCGTGCATTAACCTAGGGCTCTGATGCATGAACCCTCCTTACGTCCGGCCCGCTACTTGACCATCGTATTCCGATCAGCGGCAGGTGGATTCACGCCGTCGTAGGCCATGGTGGCGCCCTCCAAATATATAAGAAGTATTTTCGAAACCTCATGAGGGAGGCGGGGGTTCGATTCCTCCCGACGGCATGCAGCGTTGAGAAGGTCCCTTTCTTTTTTTGGTGCAGTTGGGTTTGGCTTAATTTTGCGACGCGGGCGAGTCGACTGGGTTCATGTTTTGGATGCATGATATCCCGAGTAGCGGCAGGTGAATTCACGCCGTCGTAGGCCATGGTGGCGCCCTCCAAATTTGGAGCTGGAGGCGGAGAAAATTAATGAGGGAGACGGGGGTTCGATTCCTCCCGACGGCATGCGGCGTTGAGAGGATCCCTTTCTTTTTTTGGTGCAGTGTTTGGGTTTGGTTTTGGTTTTGCGACGCGGGCGAGTCCATTCTGATTGTCGGGTTCATTTTCATTTTCTTGCAAGCCAGCTTCGTCTAGACCTATCTAGTCAAGATGCATAAATCCCTCCTCGCGTCCGGCCCGGGGTTGGGCTCGCGATTTGAACCACACCATATGCTGGTGAGCGGAAGGAAGTAAATAAAGCCGTCGTGGGCCACGGTGGCCACCCCTCCCAAGTGATTCTGTTCGATAATTTGATCGGGGAAACGAGGTTCGACTCCTCCCGGCGGCATTCTGTTATGTCGGCCAATTTTTTATTTTATTTCTTTCTTTCTTTCGGCGATAGGTTTGAGTTTGGGCTTCAATGTCGAAGTCTGCTTTTTTTGTCAGCCAAGGGGTGAGGAGCGGCGAGCGCAAGTTCGACTTGCCTAACTTGCTTGGTCAAAGCCAAAGCCAAGATAAGGGGTTGACTTCATGAATCACCACGATTCTCTCCTCGGAATCAGATTTGAACCGAAACTTGAATGCTTATCTCGCCTAGCATTATGGAAAGAAAGCCGTCGTGGCCATGGTGGCCATCCCTACCAATTTCGATATTTTGCGACTGCATAATTTAATGGGGAGACGGGGGTTCGAATCCTCCCGACGGCATGAAGCGTTGATGAGAGCTTTTTGGCCCTTTCTTTTTTGGTTCAATGTCTGGCCTCAGCTTGGTGCGAGTCGAGTTGACTCTTGATTGTCGGGTTCATTTTCATTTTTTCGCAGGCCAGCTTCGTCTGGACCTATCTACTCAGGATGCATAAATAAATAAAATTTTATCTGTCTTCCCATCCAAGACCGGGTTGGGCTCGGTACTTGAATTCCAGTTTATCTCACCTAGCATCAACCAAACGAAGCCGTCGTGGGCCACGGTGGCCGCCCTCCAAATTTTCGGTAGAGGACAGTGAGGTTTTAATGAGGGAGACGGGGGTTCGACTCCTCCCGGCGGCATTCTTTTGTTAGAATTTTCTTTTTCTTTTCTTTGTTTGGCCGTGGGTTTTCCAAGTCTGAGAGCTGCTTCAACAGTCATAGTCCTGTCTTTTTTTTCTGTAACCTCTGCTGCGAATGAAAAAAATCTCATACTGCAACCTATGAAGCCGAGTTGCCCAGCACCTAAGGCTATGGCTGCTTGTTTGCTCCTCCGCATCCCGGGAGACGGCACACGAGGTTGGAGACTAACTCTCTCATCCATCTAGAAGGGAGGAAATAAAGCAAATAAAGCCGTTGTAGCCATGGTGGCTGCCCTCTAAATTTACCATGGATAACAGAACCTGGAATGAGGCAGACGGGCGTTCGAATCCTGCCGACGGCATATGTCCAAACCGTTGTTTTTTTCTCTCTTCTCTTTGCTTTCTTTCGACGATAGGTTTGAGTTCGGGCTTCAATGTCGAAGTCTGCTTTTTTTTTGTCAGCCAAGGCTTCGACTTGCCTAACTTGCTTGGCCAAGGCCAAAGCCAACAGAAGGGGTTGACTTGACGAATCACCACAATTCTCTCCTCGGAAACAGATTTGAACCGAAAATTGAATGCTTATCTCGCCTAGCATTATGGAAATAGAGCCGTCGTGGGCCACGATGGCCACCCCTCCCAAGTGATTCTGCTTGAAAACTTGATCGGGGAAACGAGGTTTGATTCCTCCCGGCGGCATTTCGTTAGATCGACTAATTATTTTATTTTATTTTATTTTATTTCTTTCGGCGATAGGTTTGAGTTCGGGCTTCATTGTCGAAGTCTGCTTTTTTTGGTCAGCCAAGGGGTGAGGAGCGACTTCAACTTGCCTAGCTTGCTTGGTCAAGGCCAAAGCCAAGATAAGGGGTTGACTTCACGAATCACCACAATTCTCTCCTCGGAATCAGATTTGAACCGACATTTTGCGACTGCACAATTTAATGGGGAGACGGGGGTTCGAATCCTCCCGACGGCATACCACCGGGACTGCTTTTCTTTTTTGGGGGTTTGTCTGAGTCGGCTCTACTCTGAGTGCCGTCATGAAAGCCCGGATGTCAGCTCCCTATTAGTGGAAGCAGGTGTATAAATTATCTCCTTGTGTCTGGGTTAGCCCGCTTGCATTTGATTAAATTCCGAAATTTATCTCATCTAGTATCAACCAAACGAAGCCGTCGTGGGCCACGGTGGCCGCCCTCCAAATTTTCGGTAGAGGACAGTGAGGTTTTAATGAGGGAGACGGGGGTTCGACTCCTTCCGGCGGCATTCCGTTTCATCAACCTATTTTTTAATTTTTTAATTTCTTTCGGCGATAGCTTTGAGTTCGGGCTTCAATGTTCGAAGTCTGCTTTTCACCAACCACGGAGTGAGGAGCGGCGAGCGCAAATTCGGCTTGCCTAGCTTGCTTGCTCAAAGCCAAAGCCGACTTGATGACTCACTACACAATTCTCTCCCCAGAATCGGGTTTGAACCGAAAATTGAATGCTTATCTCACCTAGCATTATGGAAATAAAGCCATCGTGGCCATGGCGGCCATCCCTACCAATTGAGATATTTTGCGACTGCATAATTTAATGGGGAGACGGGGGTTCGAATCCTCCCGACGGCATGCAGCGTTGATGAGGGCTTTTTTGCCCTTTCTTTTTTGGTTCAGTGTCTGGCCTTAGCTTGGTACGAGTCGAGTTGACTCTTGAGTGTCGGGTTCATTTTCATTTTCTTGCAAGCCAGCTCCGTCTAAATCTATCTACTTAGGATGCATAAATAAATAAAAATTTATCTGTCTTCCCATCCAGGACCGGGTTAGGCTCGCTACATGAATTCCAGGTTATCTTACCTGCTGGTATCAAGGAAATGAAGCCGTCGTGGGCCACGGTGGCCGCCCTCCAAATTTGCAGCAGAGACAGTGGGGTTTTAATGAGGGAGACGGGGGTTCGACTCCTCTCGACGGCATGCCGCTTCGGTCAGAATGTTTTTCTCTTTCTTTCGGCGATAGGTTTGAGTTCGGGCTTCATTGTCGAAGTCTGCTTTTTTTGTCAGCCAAGGCGTGAGGAGCGACTTCGGCTTGCCTAGCTTGCCCGTCAATGCTCAAAGCCAAAAATAAGGGGTTGACTTCACGAATCACCACAATTCTCTCCTCGGAATCAGATTTGAACCGAAAATTGAATGCTTATCTCACCTAGCATTATGGAAATAGAGCCGTCGTGGCCATGGTACTAATTGAAATGGTTTGCAGCTGCATAATTTAATGGGGAGCCGGGGGGGTTCGAATCCTCCCGATGGCATGTATCCTCAAGGTTTTTTTTTGCCCCAATTTTGTTACTTGTGCAGACTTGTGCCGTGGTTCTTCTCATTTTCATTCTTGCTTCCAACTTCAAGGTGAGAATCACGATCTCCGTAACTGGTTATCTAGCCGAGAAAATAGCGGGTTCATTACTACACAATTCTCTCTTCACTTGATTAGGTACGTGAACCCCACCATATCCCGGTGAGCATCAAGGAAATCGAGTCGTCGTGGGTCCTGGTGACCGCCCTCCCAACTTGTGGAGTTGAGTCAAATTTTAATGAGGGAGACGGGGGTTCGAACCCTCCGGACGGCATGCCGCGTTGAGAAGGTCCCTTTATTTTTTATCTTTCCATTTTGGTGCAGTGTTTGGTCTTGGCTTTGTGCGAGTCGAATGGGCTCTGGTGTCTGGTTCATTTCCATTTTCATTTCATTTCATTTTTTGCTCGTCTATACCTCACTACTTGAATTCCAGCTTATCTCACCTGGTAATAAGGAAATGAAGCCGTCGTGGCCATGGTGGCCGCCCTCCAAACTTGCCGAGCTAATTTTGGCTGTTAATAGGGAGACGGAGGTTCGAATCCTCCCGACGGCATGTATCGGCTAGCGTTTTGTTTTGCTCCAGCTTTGTCACTTGTGCAGACTTGTGCCATGGTTAATTGTCTTCTGGTCAATGGAGGCCCGAGGTGCGCATGGTGAGCACGGATTACTGAGTAGCTCAAAGCCAAATACGGTCTTCGAGTTTACATTCAAGTCCATGATTTTCTTTTTTTCCGGACCCTACTTATCCTGGTTAGTAAACATTGAGTTTAAGCTGTCGTGGGCTATGGAGGCCGCCCTCTCAAATTCACGGTCAGGTCAAAGTGGAATGAGGGAGACGGAGGTTCGAGTCCTCCCGACGGCGTTACGGGCCAGACCAAGATAGTGCAAAATTGGCAGGGACACCCATAAACTCATGAAAATGTTGTTCTATCCCTGTCTTTTTCTGTTTCGTTTTAGCGTTATCAATAGGCCGGTGGTATTGCGGGATTCTTTACAGCTAATTGCAGTACCGAAGGCGCGGATCGGAAATCTGCTGTTTTGGGACATTTTCAAAGAATTCCCGGTATCTCAGTGAGTTCTACACCGATTCCCTTGAAACCTAGATAGAAATACTCGGCTAATTCGTGCGCAATTAGTGATAGAAAGGAAGTTGCAAAAATAATCTATATTTGGCGAGCTGGGTTTGAGAGGTCATTTTTGGGGTCAATTCAATCTGCCGGTATCTAGGCATGTTGAAATGCCCTAGATTTTTGTGAGACATGGCTTCTATCAATATTGAAAGGTGTAATAGAGTCAGATTTTGAAGGAGTTTGCAGTTGGGTTCAAATGTCACATTGTTTGCTGGTTGCAGTATATTACCGTTGGCTTGAGGCCATTACAAGCATGATAAAGTAGGATATTGAACATTCTGACTCTATCACACCTTTCAATATTGATAGAAGCCATCTCTCACAAAAATCTAGGGCATTTCAATGTGCCCAGATACCGGCAGATTGAGTTGACCCCAAAAACGACCCCTCAAACCCAGCTCGCCAAATATAGATTATTTTCGCAACTTCCTTTCTATCACTAATTGCGCACGAATTAGCTGAGTATTTCTATTTAGGTTTCAAGGAAATCGGTGTAGAACTCACTGAGATACCGGGAATTCTTTGAAAACATCCCAAAACAGCAGATTTCCGATCCGCGCCTTCGGCACTGCAAAGCTGTAAATATTTTGTGATGTCCGATTCAATCTTACGCGGATACAACTAGGATACAACTCTGCCAAACCATCTTTCTCCTCATTTCTCGATGGTCGCCAACTGGAAGGTTTCAACAGTAGAACTGGCAAGCGAGCGGGACAGTCGGGACTGAATAGGGGACTGGTAAGTAGGATTGACAGTTCGGTTTTCGATGGTGTCCTGAATGTCGTGTCCCAGGCCTACGTGCACAATTATTAATGTCGGTACGGTGTTCTGCAGACATGACAGGTTAACATTCACTGCGTTCAAGGCCCCCCTAGCCTCAGTCTGGAAAGGGGTGTATAGGTCTGTAAAGGAATGCCCAGGAGGCTAAACAGAGTCTGTGTAGGTCTACTAGACTGACCTGATCACAATTGTGGCAAAGTGTGCGTAGTGCCTGGCCAGTTGTGTATAGGTCACCTAAGCTGACCATGTGTAGGCCAGTGCAGGTACCTAAACTCATCTCTACCCAACTACACTGGGGTCAGTCCCGTGTTTATTCAACCAAAAATTAAATTTCCAAACATTTCCGACTGTATTCCAAGAAGGTGAGTCTAGGAAGCCGGGCAGACCTAGCCTGACATATACATAGCTTGGCAGACCTACGCACATCTACACACAACTACACAGAACCAGACAGAGCTACACAGAGATTGTGTAGGCCGATGTGGTCTGCCCAGCTAAGCATAGGGACCTTGCCATATGGTAAGTCTAGGGGGGCCTTGAACGCAGTGATTGGCTCCACCACAAAATGGAAAATATTCCACTGACGGTGAAGTGCGTTGCAATGCTCGCTACAACCAAATATGCAAGACTCAGAGGATAAGTGGCAATTAGTATTACCGTGCAAATGCAATCAAGTGCCCCGAATTCGACGCTGATTGGGGGTAAGTGATCGCGACGATGCGTCTTTACTGTATATCCGCGTCTCCAATCCCTGCTCTCAATCGATTTTCCACATGCCTTCCCAATTTCGCGCATCGCGCTTGCAAGAAACGCGTTGCGTTGGTCTTCATCTCCAAAACATACATCTACGCGTTCGGTCTGCAAGTCGGCCAGATCAGCGATGTCATCAGCACGGACAGTGGTGTGCATTTGGTGATGAGGACGGGATAATTGGGTCTTCTATAGAACTGCGACGCGGAAGGAACGTAAGAAGTTCGTCTGTTGTAACGTCTCTATGCCTAAATTTATTGAGCGATCCCAGTACGATTCCAAAGTTCCGCCGCTCCATCTCCTGTACTTCCTCCGTGATCTTCTGGGTTGATCAATGTCTGTTTGTCTCCTTGGCTACGTCGCCTCCCGAACTAAATCATGATGATTCTGTCACTCCAATTGAAGCTCCTCGATAGATTTTCGACGCTGAGCCTCCGCGATGTCATTGGCTGTCATACACATGTACTTATCAGAAGTTGTCCAGAATATCCCGCACTGGTTTCGCTCGCTTTTTCGGCCATCTGTGCTGGAGGATACGTACCCCTTTTCTTCGCTTTTGCTTTTGCTTTCTGTTCTTCAACCTCACCGTACGGGCATGAGTACCATCAATGAGGCTTTGACCGGCGCGCAGGCGGTGAACCGAAGCGCAGGTAGGTTCGATGGCTCAGTCAACTCTCAGTCTGACATTATCTCTCGTAGTCTCCGCCCTTGCGCTTCTCGCGTACGACATAATGCTGACCTTCGACGAGGAAGTATGTCTTTCTGTTCAATGTACTGCTGTTTATCATGTCTAAGACGCGGAAGGTGGAGATAATCTGGCCGTGAGTCTCATCCTCAGTATCGATTGTGAACGGGCTCTCATAACCATACCACCTAACAGTCGCCAGTGGACGCCAATGAAATGCCTCTTCTGCTTTGTCCGATATTTCCCACTCCTGCTACAGATGTATGTACGCCCTCTCCTTCTCACCCTCGCCTACTGACATAGTTAAAGATCTATTTTATTCGTCGGAACAGAGCTGTCGCCGCAGTTTCACTTTACGTTCCGCGATTGCGAGGTCTGGTCAATCTACCAGGCAGCAGCAGCATTCGCCATCGTCGTCGCCGTTGACTATATTCTGATTCTGCGAGGTACCACACCCTTCCCTCCGTCTGCAAAAGAATACTCAGATTTAACGCTACCTAGTCTTCGCACTCTACCAGACCAACCGGCGAATAAAGATCGCCATAGGCAGCCTCTTTTTCCTCGAGCTGTCGGCAATGCTCATCGGGCTCGGATTCTCGCTGTCCAGTATCGCGTTTGACGATGAACACCTCTGCATCGTGACACACTTTCCAAAATCTTTCATAATCTATGGGTGCGGCCCATTCGCTTTCCATCACATTTCCCTTTCTTTCTTTCTGAGTGCATACTACACAGTGCAGCGGCGGTATTGTTTCAAACTTGCCTCTTCGGGCTCACGCTCGTCAAATTTATCGGCGCACTGCGCACGGGGTGGGGCGATGTTCCATTACTGGTGATTCTCGTGCGCGATGGAACGTGGGCGTACTTGCTGGCCGTCGGTATGTGGACTTCCTCCGAGTGATCCCGCAGCTGTGCACCGAATTGACTTTATTTTGGGAAGTGATCATCATAGGCGACGTGTCCATGTACGCGCTCAAGAACCATTCGTTTGGCGGCGTCTTGTATGGGTTCGTTCTCCAATACTGTATTGAACCCTGCGCGTCGCCCTAACTCTGCGCAGATGGATGATCACGGCGTTTTCTTTCTCGGTGAGCGCACATTAGGCTGTTGCTGTTCGTAGCTGTTCGTCCTCGGCTTAGCTGAAACCACAAACTTGAAGGGCTACCGTATTCTGCTGAACCTCGCGAGGTCTTTGCACCAGGAAAGCCACATCAGTATCAAGAGCCCGATGCGGTTTGGTTGGGAGACGGATTTGCCTTAATCTTGACCGTGGAGGGCTGTTAAACACCAATGTATTGATCTAAATTCCTCATTCCCGTCTGCGGAAAGTCAAACAGTTAGCCAGAAGAAAAAATCTAGCTACGGAAGGTGGGATTCAGTATTATTCCGTCTGTCCTTCATATACTGTGCTATTTAGACCAAATGTTCACGGGGTGTCAATAAGGTTCATTCCTCGGCAATCATGGTAAACTTACCATATATGGTAATCCGGCGAACGCTGGACCGGAAATTTTGACGTTTTTCGGCCTATTTGGGCCTCAAAATCGTATGGCGGTCCGGATGCACTTTTATTCGGCCGCAAGATAAAGAGCCGATTTCGGCCATCCCGCAAGATAGAGAGGTGATTTGATGGTATCGCCGCAAGATTGACCCCTGATAATCAAGCTGTTTGTCTTGCGGGGAAATCACTGATTCCCGCAAGATATATATAGGTATGTCCCGCAAGATACAACGCGTCGCCCGCAAGATACAGAATTTCCCGCAAGATAAAGTCGTCCGAAAAAAAATTGTTCCAAAATTCCTGAAATAATTTGGGTAATTCCCTAGTGCCTGTTCACCAGACAGTGTTGTGTGATTCAGAGTGGCATACCAATTAAAGAGTAGGGAAACCGCTGAAATACTGTATTTCAAGAAGCTTGAGTTGGACTTTGCAATAATTCACCCTTGTGGACTGTGTTCAAAGTCCGATTACCATCACTGACCATCCTCACAACCCTGCATGAGTCAAACGTGAATACCTTGGTTAATTGTAAAGTAGGCATGTAGTTCAACTGGCTTCCTTGCAATTGGATGCATTGGAGTTGACACTGAATACGTGTAGACAGTCATTACAACTCTTATAGGTCCAGGGAAATCTCCTTGTAATTGAATCTACACATTTGTGACAGCTGATACCTGACAATGTGAGTACCAATACACAGCAATTGA